CAGTCCCAGCTCCATAACCAGGCTTCTCTGCCTGGAAATCAGGGACTCTTGGGAGGCCCAAGGGACAGGCTTAGGGTAGGAGGTGTCCATAGAAACCTTGTCCTCAAAGGCCACATTTGGTGTGTTTATGCTTGTGTTTATTTTCTGGGGAGAGGGTTCCCAGCTTTTACAAATTACGAAAGGAGATTGAATTCCCTCAAAAGTTAAGACCTGGATCCTTTTCCGGTTCATAAGCATGATGATTGGGTGTTCACGCGACTGTGAGAGATGTGCCTCCCTTAAACCTTGTTACGACGTTGGCACATTACCCTTCTGACGTAAAAATTAAAAGAAAAAAAGTTAAGAGCTGGCACTTCTCCCTGCCCCACTCCTACCCACCCCCAGTTTCCCTCGCCTTCAACAGTCAACCTCACTCATTTATAAATAGAAACCCTCTCCGGACATGTATCTAGAGTGACAGGATGGGCCCAGAGTCTGAGACATGAGCAGAGTCGTCACCTGCCCTGTCCTCCCCTGGCCCTAAAGGTCATCTACTCTGGACCCCCCCCCCCACCATAGCCAGGAGACTACCGGGCCTCAAGCTCCCGTGCCATTCCCCCACAGGCAGCTACCCCTCTTCTCCAATATGAGTTTGGCACCTGTCCTCAGTAACCCAGATGCTTCTGGGTGCCACCCCATCTGCTCTTTCTCTCCTCCTCCTGGAGGGGCTTGCCCCCTGGTGCAGACACGGGTGGAGAGAGGTTCCTGGAGACAGCCTCTCTTCTGAGCTCCAGCAACTGGCTGGAAATACATCAGGACCTCCCACAGGCACCTCATGTACAGTGGCCTCCACCAGCCAAATCTGCTCCAGCTCTAGCACTCCCAACACAGGAAAAAAATGGGAATTGATGCCTTTCCCCTGCCCCAAAATCCAACCGGTGTTGAGTCCCACAGATGCAGCTACCTCCAGCTCTATCTCACCCTCTCCTCTCTACAGCCAGGGGCAGAGGTAGAAGACGGACTGGTGGATCGCTGCAGCAGCCTGTCATTGGCCTCCCTGCTTCCCCTCCCTCCCTTCTACTCCCACCTGCTCCCACTTGCAGAGGACTTGTGATACAGCACAAGCCCACTCAGATCACTGACCCGCTTCAGCTCTTAGCCAGGAGCCTATCCCCTTCCTGATAAAATCCAGACTCCTCCCTATGCCTCACCGGTGCCTGGTCCTGGGCTTTTCCAAACTCGTCACATCTCTTGTCATTTGCCCATCCCACGCTTACTCGGTGCCCCACTTATAAATCTCTCCACTTGGGGGGTTGGTGTCTCTGGCCCTCCCCATGACTTGCCCTCCCGTCCACTGTCCACCGGCTCTGCCTTGCCTGGCTCTTCCATCAAATATGGAGGCCTTCCTGAGTCCATTCCCCAGTCTGGGGAGGAGCAGGTCACGGCTGCCTCCTCTGTGCATCCCTCTTCAAGCAGGTACCCCATCTAGTAGATGTGACTGGTCACGTTGCTGACCACTGCGAGACGATGGACACAGGGGCTCAGGTGATCAGCACGCTGGCGCCCACTTGCCTGTACTCGGGGAAGCCAGTTGTGCATATCCCTCCCCGACTCCACACTCCGTGACGTCAAGTTGATGGCTTGAAAACAGCCCTGGAAGGAGCGTTTATTTACACCATGGGACTTGGCAAATGCTACAAATGCCACCAATCAGGGTTGTTTTTTTTCTTAATCTTTTTTTAAAAAGACTAGTTGTGAAATACTTATCAACATGCCACTGTGTAGGCATGAAATGTGAGGAATGAAATGGAAAGATGGAGGGGTAATTCTCAAAGTTCTGGGCTCCAAGTTCCACCCCCTAGTGGCTGAGGCACATGCGTGCTGGCCCTCCATCTGATCCCCCACTCTACAAGTCATATTCTTGCTCCCTCCTCAGTGCCTTTTGTCCCTGTCCTCCTCACCAGTCCCTCCGGGCAAGCCAATCCTGCCACTGCTCCAACAGTTGGCAGGTTAAGGGGTGGGGGGAGCTGGAGAGCGTGGGAGGCGTGGGGCCGACTTTGGGTGGGGTGGAGTATGGCCCAATGGGAGTTTCCTCTGCCAAGAGGTGGGTGCAGGGGGTGAGAGGGCGCCATCATCTCTGGCAGAAGAAGGAATGCTGGGTAAGGCAGGTGGCCATGGGACAGGACCGGGCCTGGAGATGGAGGTCAGCAGCGTCAGGCAGAGAGAAGCTGCAGCTCCTCCCTCCCCCAAGGGAACACCAGCAAGTGCTCCCCGGTCTGATCAATACTGGAATCAATGGACACGATCGCCTGATTCCAGGCACTGCGGGGAAACAGTGAGCCCCTGGCTCCTCGCCTCCGTGGGCATCTGCTGATACGCTTCCTCTCTTGGCCTCAGGCTCTGCTCCGCCAGGCTCTGCTCTGCTCCTCCGTCTCCCGCTCGCCTGCTTGCCTCCTGCCCTGCCTCTGTCCTCATTTGCATCTGGGTCCCTATCTGCCTTCGGGTCCTTCTCAGGATCCTTCTGTCTCCATCACCCCTATGTCTCTGTGCCTCCATCTGTCTGTCTCCTCCCCTCTCTGTCTATCCCCGTCGGTGTCTCTCTCTGGTCTTTACATCCGCCTCCCCGCCCGGGCCCCCATCTTCTCTCTTCTGTCTCCTCTGCTGTGTTTCCATCTATATCTCTGTCTTCCTCCATGTCTCCATCTCCCCTCTGTGTCTCTGTCTCTCAGCCCCCGCATCTCCTCGCTGCCCCCCCACCCGCCCCCCCAGCCTGCTCAGGCTCTGGGGCCCAGATGGCGGGACGTTCACGCTGCAGTGCCTGCAAGCACAGGGCATGGCTGCTTCTGGGGCTCCTTACACCCCCGGCCCTGAGCCCGCCCGGCAGCAGTCAGTCATCTGCCGGCCTGCTGGGGACTCCTACTCATTCCTGAGCGACCTCAGCAACCAGGTATTGGGACAATCGCCCCCTTGGAGCAGACACTGAATGGGGGAGACTTTGCTGCTGGGGGCCTAGGAGGGCCTTTTCAGGAACTCAGGTAAGGAGATCTGCAGGCACCCCCGACTGATGGCTTTTTCTTTTTCCCCAAGGGGGTGTCCTTCTTGCTGTCTAACAGAAAGCCCTCTTGCTGCAGCTTCATCTGCCCTTGGTGTCTGACTCAGCTTCTTTCCACCTCAGTCAATGCCTCTACCAGTAGCATCCCGCGAGGCAGGGACTGCTGGGCACGCCCCCCTGCCCCCACCCAGGAAGCCCCCTGAGCAACACACATCTGACCATGAGCAGAACTGGGGTGAGGGAATGGAGGTTGAGGTTCAGGCTCTAGGATTTGGGTGAAGGGAGATTAGGGGCTGCTCCCTGGCTCCCTGCAGCACAAAATGCAGCCCCCACCAGCCTGGTAGAACACCTCTCCCCAGGAGGCTGGCGGAGTAGGCGTGTACACACACACACCCACACACCCACACCCCGTGCGCCTAGACACAACACGCCCACCACAGTGCCATACACCCCACCTGCTGCACAGCAGCCAGAGGCCTGCCCCCAGCACCTCACGTCCACAGGGAGTAGAATATAACTGGCAGAGGTGGGGAGCAGCATCCAGGCAAGGGGATGGGGTACCAACCGACGTGGTATGATTGTGTTGGGAGTGGGGCTGGGGTGCACCAGGCTGAGGGGGGCAAGTGGAATAAGAACTGAGTGTTCACAGACAAGAGTGGGGTGGGGTCTGCTCCAGTCCAGACTTGGGCCTGTGGTCCCCAGACTCACCCCAGAGCTCCTCCTTTGCATGCCCTCGTGGGTCCCTGGGCCCTGCCCAGTCAAGCGAGGGCCCTGCCCCCTCACCCTCTACCTCCCCCGCCCCCACTCCTGCCCTCTCCATGCCTCTGGGCCCACACGCCTCTACTGAGATTGGGGGTGGGGGGTTGGGAGGTACATAGGCTCAGTTCTATGCCAGGAAAGCTCAGCTCCAGTGGGCAGGGCTGCGGGGTGAACTACAGCGGTGCCTGCCGGCTGCTGTCCTCTCCCAAGAATCAGCCAAGGGGGTGACCTGGAAGGCCAGCTAAAGGGAAGAGCTGACATCTGGAAGGAACCCACAAGAACCCAAACACAGTTTGGAGGCCCCATGGTGCCTGCTTTGACCCCTAGTTAGTGGGGGCGAGGAAGGGGTCCCCGCTATGGCCCTTACTTCCCTTGCACAGGTCCTAGAGAGAGAATGGCCTCCTCCCGTTTGGCCCAGATCCCACTGCTTGCAGCCAACGGCCCCACAAAACAAGCCTGCATCCTCTTCCACATGACAGCCCTTCAAATATTTGAAGACAGCTCTCCTGTCCCTGCTGAGCCTCCTCTTCTCCTGACTAAACATCCCAGTTCTTAGAACGATTCCTCAAACGCGATGATTTCAAGTCCCCTCACCATGCTGGGCGCTCTCATCTACTCCGCCCGCTCACAGCAAGGCTCCCAGAACCAAGACCAGGACCAGAGCTCCTCCCTCCCAAGCCCACAGGCCTGCCCTTCCATGCAGAAGCAGCCACCACTCCACCCCTACGTCCACGGCCCCATCCTGCCTGCAGTCATTCAAACTCCTAGCACAAAATCAGCTGGATGACGGGGCGGGGGTGGGGGAGCAAGCACTGGGCAGCGGGCCCCCAACCCCTCCACTTCCCCATCTCTTTTCCAAACACCCAAGTCTCATCCACTCACTTGTCTCTCTAAAGTGACCTTGCCTACGTCCGAAGCTCATCATTAATTCACATCCTTCAAACCCTGCCTCCTCTGAGAAGCCTTCCCTGATAGAACAGGCTCTGCCACTACCCCGGCAACCTCCACACTCAGAGTGACATTCACTGGTTTTCACCCTCCCAGAAGTCCCCACGCATTGTTGCATCTCCTGCCTGTCCCCCTCCCTGCCATGCAGACTAGCAGCATGCGGAGGAACCTAAATGCAGGGGGTGGGAGGGAAGGAAGGCGGAGGGTCTCCAGCCCCAGGGTCGAAGTCGCTGGCAGAAACTGCCCTTGGCCAAGCCCCTACCTGCTCGTGGTATTCGATGCCCATGCTGAGTGTGTTGACCAGGATAGCGATCATGATTCCCCGGCCAAAGTACTTGCTGTCCACAATCTTCCGGAAGGTATCACAGATCAGCCTCCAAAAGGCCAGCACAGAATTGGGTTCCATGTGCAGCCCTAGGCTCCGTCGATGCCGGCTGTGGGGATCCCGGAGGTCGCCGTGCTGGGCGTCCTGTGTGAACTCGTAAACTGCCTCGCTGTCTGAGTCAGGCATCTCGGGGCCAGAGAGCTCCACCTCCCCTGCTCCTGCCCGGGCACAGTAGGGGCAGCTGTCGGGGCCAGAAGCGCCACTGTCTGCTCTCAAGCATGGGCTGGAGATCTTGCAAGAGCTTTGGCAGGTGCCTGGGACAGAAGGGGAGAGGTCAGAGCTCCAGGATTTCTTATTTGAGGCAACCCTTCCCCGGAGTGAAGTCTGGGGTTGTTACAATCATGGGGGTGCTAGGGACTCAGTGGGCTAGGGGGCTGAATGCCCTGCAATATGGCCGGTCCTGGGTAACAATATATCTCCAAGAGATGCCAAGAGCAACCCACTGACAGTCACTGCTGGGTGTCCTAAGGTTCAGCATGTGGTCTTGACATCCTCTAAGCACCCATGTTGAAAGAGCTTTCAACATGACAGAGCTTTCAACATGGACCCGAGACTATCTCTCCTGCCCAGAGCAGCCAGCAGCAGCAACACTGCTCTTAGTGACACTTTCCAAGGGATCCTTAAGGCCCACATGTGTGTCTATGTACATACACCAGACACATGCCCAGGTGCACTAACACCCTTGTACACACACAATGCTATGTGCACATAGTACCATCTTCGTATCACACATACATGCACACCAAACACAGGTGCCTATCACACAAAGCACATGCGCCCATGGGCCTGCACACATGCCCCCATGAGTGCACACAAGCACCTACACATCAGACTTATGTGCACACACATGTACATGAACACCAGAATGTGCGCCACGGGCACATGCACCAGCCACCATCATGCACACACACACAGCAGGTGCTCGTGTGTGTACACAGTGACCAACCCAAGACACCGACATCCATTTAAGCCCAGCTGTGATCACAGAGCATGAGAGCTCAAAGGGACCTCAGAGACTCCCCAGGGACAGCAGGGGCATGAAAGCACCAGCCTAGGACCCAGCCCCTCGTAGGCGTACACAAAGGTTTCCCTGGGGTGCTGCTACACACAGGCATTCGTCAGTAAGGAACTGACAACAGCGGTCCCCCAAGCCCGGAAGTCCCCACAGGCGGGAACATGCATGCATGCTCGAGTTCCATGGCAGGGTAGTAGGAAAGCTGGTACAAGAAGCCTGTGCATTGAGTTCTGCGATGGCACCTTCCTGCTCCAGCCCACATGCCCACTGAACAGCCCACACATATCCCGCTTCTCCCACGTGCCGCATCCTTCCTGAAGTACAGGCCTGGGCTGCGGCGCAGTGAGTCTGTCCGCGCGGGAGGAGTCTATCCACAGGATGTGAGCATCTCACTCCCCCGTTACCCCAGGTGTCCCCCCAGAGAGCTTGCTTCTCCAGGCCCCGGTCCCCCAGGGGTGAGGGAACAGAACTTGCATTTACAAGAGCCTCTTGGGTGTGGGGCATGGAGCTGTCCACGGTCACCCACTTGCCTGCCCGAGTCACCCCTGCATCCAGCCCTCACCAACAGCACAACCTTGGACAAGTCACACAACCTCTCCAAGCCCCCTCTTTCTCATCAGCAACCTGAGGACAATAAGAAAGCTTATCACCTTAAGCTGTGTGAAGATCCAATGGGATTTTGCTGCAAAGCGTGTGACAGGCACACAACAACCTTTCAGCAATCGTTAGACACTACTGCGGACGCACAGAGCAGAGCACATAACAGATGCTGCATGACAGTCACTGCTATTATTACAATAGCAGGAAGTGCGCGTCCTTTTTAAATGATGAAAACATTAGGGTTCAAAGAAGTGACTTGTTGAGGGTCTCAAGGCTGCAAATGGCAGGGTGGGACTCCAAGCCCATTCCTTCTGACTCCAGACCCCGTCCTCTCTGGGACACCACCCGGGTCCCAGGCCAGGGGTGCCACCACACTTCCAGAGTTCTCACCTGTACTCTGTGTCTCCAGCAGCTTGTGCATGGAGCTGTAGGGCGCTGGTGGGATGTTGAGGCTGGTGAGGGCGGGGGGTCCAGAGGTGGGGGCCACCTCTACGAGTGCCTTCTCCTTCAGCATCTCTGGTGGAGGGCTGGGGTGCACAGTAGGGTACACCTTCCCGCTGCCCACAGTCCTGCCCGACGCCTCAGACGGCGACCTGGGAGGGGGCGCCTGGCAGCGGACGGGCTCCAAGTGGCAGTCAGCATGGTAGAAGCTGTGCACAGACTCTGCACCCCCTGGAGGGCCCCCAGAGAGGGTGGGTGTCGAGGGTGGTGGCAGCATGAGCCGGCGCGACCCGTTGGCATCCCTGTCCTGGATCTCTGGGCTGGCTCGGGGTCCCCGCAGCGTCCCATTGCCCAGGTGGTAGTGGTGGTGATGGTGGTGGTGGTGGTGCACCAGGTGGTGGACAGAGGGGCGGCGGTGGGAGCGAGAGCAGCTGCCGCTGGGCTGGGGCTCCTGATCTCCGCAGGGTGCTGGGCTACTCAGCAGTCCAGCCCGCACACCCACTGCCCGGGAGACCTGGGCCAGCCTGCGGGCTGCTTTGCGGAGGATGTACACCAGGTACTTGAGCAGCTCCTCGTAGCAGCTGCCTGGCTCCGAGAAGCTGGCCAGCGTGCTGGCATTGGACAGGAACCGCACACGCTGCTCCCGCATCAGCTGGCTTTCACGCTGCTTGGTTTCTGAGAACTGCGTGGCGATCACCACCAGGCACAGGTTGATCATGAAGAAGGAGCCCACCTGTTGGGGGTGGGGACAGGAAGAGGAGATGTCCTGAAGAAAAGGGAATCCCAAAGCCAGCCACTGCATACTGAGGGCAGGCACTGGGCCCAAGCACTGCCCAAGCACTATCTCGTCTTACTCTTATGACACTCTCAGGAGGGGACAGTTTTATAATCTAATCTGATAGGTGAGGAAACTGAGACTCAGAGAGGTCAAGGAACTTGCCCAAGATCATTCAGCTAAGCTAAGGCACAGCAAAGCTGAGACCTGAACCACGCTCTTTGGGATTCCTGGATTAGTAGTGATCGTGATGCTAGCCTGCAGTGAAATCTCCCAGACTCCCTGCCCCCAAACGTGCCAACCACAGACATGCTGAGCACCTCTCCCCAGTTTCCATAATGAGTCAAGAAGGCTGTGGAAATGAATGCGATCTTGGGGAGATGGAGCTTTCACACTGAGACTTGGAGATTTGGGCAAAAACACTGTTCACAAGACTCCTGCTTCTAGTCTCAATTCTGGCTGAGTGACCTTGAGTGACACCCTTAACCATGGGACCTCAGTATCTCCTGACCATTGTCTGTATATATCCCTTCTCTCCCTGCCTCGCTTCCCCCCCATGTGGGTGATGGGCTGAACCTTGAACCCTGCAGACTACCAAGCTGCCACTCTGACTTACCCCCACATACACCCCTAGCCCTGTTTCTACACCTCAGTTTCTCTAGGACCCTGAAGTGGCCACTGCTTGGACAACAATCCAGAATGAAGGAAATGAATATTTATGGTGACAAAGCAGATTTTTTTTTTCTAGATTGTGTCCTAGTAATTATGATAATTAGCTTCACTAGTGTGATTCCAGAGAGCTGTTTGGAAAGATTTTTCAGGGGGTGTGTGGGAGGGTGGAAACTAGGCCCCTTACCTCCCTGTCTGCTTCCTTCCCCTCCCCCAAGCTTAAGGCGAGCAGCATAATGAAGAGATCAGCTTCCCTGAGGCGCTGGTTCTGTCCCCACCCCAGGGATGAGTGGATGGGAAGAAGCCCAGAGCCTGGCCACTCTTCCGCACCAGTGAAGGTGGCAGGGCCCAGGGGGTTGGCTTGGAGGATTTGCTCTCTCTCAGGGCCTACCTGCTGTCTATCACTCACAAAGGACTGTCTCTACCTCCCTCTGGAGCTTGTCTTTGGTCCCAAGTAGACCTGAAATTTCTTTCTCTCAATATCTGTTCCTCTGTCTGGCTCTGCCGTTGGTCCCTTGGTAACATGGAAAAAGGGCTGGACTTGAACTGTCAGCTCCAGCTACTCACTTAGCCCAGTGACCAATCCCTCTGAGGCTCAGGGTTCTCCTTTGGGTTCTGAAATCACAACCCCTGCACCTCTACCTCACAGGAGTGCGTGAGGATTAGCAGAGAGCAGATGTTACAGGACACATCACTATAACCCTGCCCAGATGAATCCACCGTGCATGCAAGCACACGACGAGGTCACACCAATGAGGAAACACATCAGTGTCCCCATCTGTAAAATGGAGACAATACCAGGATCCTGGTGAGAATTAAATGCACCAGCACATAAAAAGTGCTTAGAATAGGGACTTGCTCATAGTAAGTACTCAATAAATATTAGCCTAAGAAGTAGCATGATAAATAAGTGGAGACAGCTAAATTATTACTTATGAATGGTAACGATTAGAACTATCAGATATTGCTATTTCCCTCTCTGTCTTCTGCCCTCATAAAGTCTGGGAACTTCTGAGAAGGGAGGAATGGATCATGCGGTGTTTCTCAACACCAAATGAAAGGAATTTGGGGTGGAATACTCTTTGTTTGCAGGGCTGCCATTTCAGGTTATTTAACACCTTCCCCCTGACCCCCAGCAAAATGCCAGCAGTAACAAAAACACCCTTTGCCATTTCCAAATGGTCCCCTGGGAGAGGCAGTATCACCCAAGGCTGAGGGACACTCATTTTGTTGATAGTCAGAGGTCGGGCCTGGGCCTGGGGACCTGGAGGGGGTAACTTGCCCAAGGTTATTAGCGGCAGTCAACAGTACAGTCAGACCTTGACCTTGGATTTCCTCCTGACTCCTCATGACATGTCCCTTGCTGCTGTGTCTCTACAGGACTTGTCCTGAGACTGAAGAATTTTAGATCAGGCAACCCTTTCCCTCTCTGGTTCCCCCCGCCAGTTTCCCAAGGACCCCCTATTCCCCCAGGGGCCTGAGGAGTCACTCACGATGATGAGGAGGATGAAGTAGATGAAGTTGTAGAAGGAGTGAGCATCCATCACAAAGTACATGATGTCGACCCAGCCCTCCAGCGTGATGACCTGGGGAAGGTGCAGGGGGGGCAGGCTGACTCTGGGCGCCCCAAAGCCTCCTGCAGTCTCCTCCATAGACCCTGACCCCATCCCAACCCTAAGATCACCCACTGCACGCCTGGACCGTGTCCCAGCGCTTGTGTTCTGGGGACACTCTGGTGGCCAGGCTGCCCCACCTGGAAGATGGCTATCCAGGCGTAACCAATATTGTCGAAGTTGATGGCGCCCTTGAAGGGGTTGTGCTCCCCGGCGGAGCAGTTGGTGTAGTACTGGTTCCAGTTGACGCAGGTGGTGTTGCTGGAACTGTTGTAAGCCTCGTAGTCCAGGCCGCAGGGTGGGCCGCCGCCGCCCTCCCCGCGCAGCGTAGGCACGCTCCTGCAGGACCGCATGCCGTTCTCACGGGGCTGGGAGCAGATGAAGGGGCTCTCGTCCTCATTCTCTGTCTGGTAGTAGCGCTCCAGGTCCACACTCAGGGGGCTGAGGAGGGGAAAGGGTGAAGCTAGAAGCAGGGTTCTCCAGGGAGAGGGCCAGGAAGGGAGAGCTGGGGTAAACTGAGGCATGCAGTTAGGTAAGCAGGGCAAGGCAGCAGAGTCCAGGAAAGCACTGGGCCAGGGCAGAGAACTATGTGCATCAGTGGGGGACACCAGGAGCATGAAGACTGAATGTGAAACTCCAGTCAGGATGTTGGAAGGTTAGAGCAGAGGTTTTCCAATGTGGTTGCACATTAGGATCATGAAGGAGATTATAAACATCCTCATGCCCAGGCTGAACCCCAAGTCAATGAGATCAGAATCTGCGGGGGTGCAACCCAAGCCCCAGTAATTTTTCAACCCCCCCAGGAGACTCCAATATGTAGTCACATTTGAGAACCAGTCCTGTCTCCCATAGGAGAACAGATAAATCAATAGCAATGGGGGGAGTGGTGGCCCCAGCCCACAAGCACCCCCAGGTCAGCCCCCAGGCTGTGCCCCACTCACAGGCTAAAATTCTCCGGCAGGAAGCATCGGTTGCGAAGCAGCCCTGCCCACAGCTGGACTCCAACGATGCCAAAGATGAAGAAGACGAAGAAGCAGAGCAGCAGGACATTGCCCAGCATGGGCAGAGTGTCCAGCAGCAGCGTGACGAGGATACGCATGCCTGTGGGGGCAGAAGCCACGCTGGGGGCGCCAGGCTGGCCGGGCAAGGCTGGCTGCCACGGGCCTGGCAGCACTCCCAAAGGGGGCCACCAGGGTCCCTGAGGCTGAGACGGCCTGGCTCAAGCTGGAGGGGAGACCAATAGACACCTCTGACTCTGCAGCAGCCCTTGCATGCCTGAGCCCTACCCACTCTCCCCACCGGCCCACTGCACTCATGAGCGCACAGTGCCGCCAGCAACAAGCCCGTGGTTTCCAAAGCTTTCCTGCACTGTTGTCCCACTGAGTGTCCCAACATTGTCAGAGCACAGATGATATCACCCCCAATTTACAGGCGAGGATGGAGGCTCAGGGAACTGGCAAGACTTGTCCAGTGTCACAGAGCTGCTAAAAGGTGGGTGCCTGGAGTTAAAACCAGGCCTCCTTTGTGTACATGCACACATGCTCGCACGCGCACACATACGCACACGCACACCAGACACAGCCACATGACCTTTCTAAGTTATCATCACTGGGTAAACTGAGGCAGAGAACCCTAGGGGGGCACTGGCAGGCAGGAATCTCACTTTGACAGCTTGCTTCTCAGTAGGGACCAAGACGCCCTGCGCTTCACCGTGGTTCTGAACACCTTGCCCTGAGTCTACTCTCCTCTTGGTCAGCATCCCCAAATCAGGCCCTATGGAAACACAAGGCTATTTTCTCAGGTCACATTCACCCACCCCTTCTGGGGAAAGCCACTGTGATCTGCCCCAAACAGTCCCATCAGGGACTCGGCGCCCCCTCCCTGTTCCAGGTCTAGGACCCAATCAGCCACCTGGTCTAAACCAGCCCCCAGACCACCACCCTGTCAAGCACATGACCTCTAATGACTGGTTTTGACCCCCAGATTGTCACTCCTGGGTCCCTGACCCCTCTAGGGAAAAAGCTTCTAAGCAGCAGCTAATTAACCTTCTCGGTGATTGCAGCCACCCTGCCCCCACCTTTCAGCCCCATCTTCTCACATTCCCGCTCCCCCATACCCACCCCCTCCCCCTCTGTGCCTCAGAGCTCCAACTGAGATCAATTCCTCTGGGTTTGCATTAAGGGAATTACACTGGTGGTTAGACAGAGGCCTATAAATCTGCCAGCCATCACCTGGGGTGGGAGAGGAGAAGAAGGTATGCCCCTCCCCTGGAGCTCCTGTAAACACAAAGCACCCCAGTGCCTGGAGGACACAGAGCAACTCTGCCCACCCAGAGGCTGCCACATTTCTCTCTCTCTCTCTCTCTCCCTCTCTCTCTCTCTCTCACACACACACACACACACACACACACACACACATTTACAGACACTCTACTGCTACATCAGGCACAGAACCCCCAGCAACATGCCCTTACCCACTCCCGCACCCCTGGGACCCAAGCAGAGACCATCTGCAGTTTGTGTAGGTTGGGGAGTCGAAAAGGGGGCCTGGGGTGGGGGCAGGATGTAGGGGGAGCTAGAGTTGCCAAAGCTCCGCTGGCTCGGGAAACCAATGCGGTTTAATTTAGATAATGGTCCCGGCAGTCAGTTGCTGCAATGGGTTGGAAGGAGTAGCAAGGAGGCAGGGGACACAGGCACGAGGGTGAGGCCTGAGCCGGCCTTATCTTGAGAGAAGTCACATTTGACAAGGCCAGTGTGGTCTCCCCCTGAGAACCAGAACACAGGAGAGGCTGCTCTGGCCAGAAAAGGCCATCCCACTTTGCATCCACACCTCCTAGACAGCCAGCCTCTCGCCCCTGGGCCCATCAGCCTTTATTCCACTGGAGACAGTGGCCATCCCGTTGAAGGGAAGGGATCATCTGAGACGTTTCTGAGACTGACCCAAAACCAGGCTACAATGAGGCAGGGGGTGTTTCCAGGTGACTCCCATAATTCTGTGGGGAGCCATTTGCTTCCGGAGACCCCAGCCCTTCCCTGGTGGAATCTGTCTCAGAGTGCCCAGCCCTGAGTGCTGGGCCCTGATGAGACCTGTGAGCACCAGGAGGCAGGGATGAGGTGTGAGATGTGCATATTTCCTCTTGGGGCTCTCTGTCCAGGGGCTGAGGTGGGGGGGTCACTCACTGGGCACCCGGTTAATGGCCCTGAGGGGTCGCAGCACGCGGACTGTCCTGACAGCTGAGAAGCTGACGTTCTGCAGATCCAGCGAATACTCCAGCATCCTGCAGGGAGGGGCCCAAAGGGAGGCCCTTTGAGTCTGAGGCCACCATGGGGGTCAAAAGAGGTCAATGAGGAATTCTGCCATAGAAGGCAGCACAACCTCCAGCTCCTCCCCCTCCTCCATGCAGGGACCCCAAGTGCAGGCTCTCTGTCTGGGGACAAGGTCACCCCCAAGTCAGGAGGAGAGAACAGTCAAGGGAGGTGCAACTGGAGGGGCAAGGGATTTCAGAGCAGAACAGGCTCGACCCTTAGCGGAGAGTGGGGAGAAAGCAGCGCAGTAAGTGGGGTGGGATGGGGGAGGGCACCATCTGATCCATCGCTCTCCCACCTCCAGTCCGGGACCCTCACCCTGCGATGACGATGAAAAAGTCAAGCCGGTTCCAGGTGTCTCCCAGGTAACACTTTTTCCCAAAGATGCCCAAGGCCACCATCTTCACCACCATCTCCACCGCGAAGAAGGCAAAGATGAAGTCATCAAAGGCCTGATGTGGGGACAAGAGCTGCTGAAACTGAGAAGGGGTGAGGGGACACCACCATCCCCACCCCACCCCACCAGAGCGGGCCGGTTGGAGCAGAGGAAAGAGTGTTAAGTGGAGCTGCCGGCCCTCCACCCACCTTACCCTCACTCACCTGCAGGATCCGGCAGCGCTGGGAGTCACAGGCAATGTCCTCGCACGGCCGGAACATGCCCAGCGTCACGCAGTTGAGAAGGATGACCAACATGCTGATGCGCTCAAACCAGGTAGCCGGGCGGTCAAGGAAACAGCTGGCCAGTGCTGGAGCGGTGCCTGGGCCCCCACCCCTGCCCTTGACCTCCCAAAGCTAGCTGAGATGACCCCAGGGCCACGCGAGGGCCCAGCCTACACATCAGCCAGCCCCAGGCCCAGTCCCCCTTGGCCACCTCACCGCTCTGGACCCAGCCTCCTCCTCTGTGAAGGAGGAAAAGCCACAAACACTGTGTTTGCACAAGACATTTGGGGGAGGAATCGATCGTGCTTGCAGAAATGCCAAACACCAAGAGTTTGCTGCTGAATCTGAATTCTGTTCTCCCTATCTCCCAGGGAAGATGTGAGAAGCAAATGAGATCATGTATGTGAATGTGTGACACAAACCTAAAGCCGGATTGTGCCTGCCTCGCAGCTTACCAAACACTGTCACACCGAGCCCCACTCGAGGCTCACCACAGCCCCGTGAGGGATCCAGAACCCAAGGAAACTGAGGCCCAGAGAGCCAGAGTCATACGCTGAAGGTCACCGGGGCCGCTGGGAGGAGGCTGAGATCCCCAGGCTCCTGATCTGGGACAGCTGCTTCCATGGTCGCTCAGGCACGCAGGAAGGGCCCCTCGTGACCATCCGGAAGGATGGTGTGCACGCGCCACAGCGCTGGATCCCCAGGCTGCCTCCCCACCAGCTGCCCCTCTGACCTCTCAGAGCACTCAGATGGCCTCTAGGTACATTCACCCACTGAAATATGAGCACCCAGGACGCACCAGGCCCTGTGCTGGACACAAGCCCCCAACTCACACAGCGTGGACAGGGCCCTGCACACACAGACCACACAGCCATCACGACGGCCAGCAAAGCCCCAGCGGGGGCCAACTAAAACAGATTCTGTGGCAAGGGGTCGGGGAGTCTTTCTAAGCCCCGAATCTTTCCACATAGTGGATTTTATTAAACAGCTCACTTCCGGCCCATCAGCAGGAGAATGTACAAAATGGCCTTTGGACTTTAGGTTCTAGGCACCAGACACAAGCATCCTTTCCTCGAGGAAACTATGAGACGGGGAAGGAGAAGGTCTTGGGGAGAAGGATGAGGGGTGTCACGGCAGCATGACCACCCAGCCAGGCCTAGTGGGGTGAGAGGGAGGGCCAAGAGCAGACGGAGTCTTCCTGTTGTAATCTCTCTTTTGGAGCGAGAAGACTTTGGCCAGAGACCTAAGGACTTTCTTCCCAGCTGTTCCCAGCCATACCCCATCTCTGTCCTGAACCTCAGACCCCAAATCCTCCCCAGGAGCCCATGACCCTCTCAATCGCCACACAGGCCTCTTACCCCTCCGCTGTCACCCAGCCCTTCCCCTCAGACTCGCACCCCTTCCCACAGAGAGGTACCCTAGATGTCCCCAGGCACTGCATTTCCCCAACCACTTGCTCCGCACAATAAGAGTAGAAAAAAAAAAGAAAACAGAAATAGTTCTAGGTTTTGGGGGTAAGTAAACGGAAGGGGGAAATAAAGTGCTCTGTTTCCATGGAGCTGTTTTCCTGAGTGGAGCCAGAGCCCAATGGATCTCTCCCCAGAATGAGGGTCAGCCAGGGGTTACTCTGGAAAAAAGGGGACAAGGAGGGAGTTCCCTTGAGGCCATCATCTGGAAGGGGAAGGACACAATTACCCTCAAGCACTGGCCTGCTTTCCTCAACTAACCCCCTCCTCGCCTCTGCAGGGAGAAGGGGTCTGGAGGGACCTGTGTGAGCAGATGATGCTACACAGGTAGTTCTCCTGGGGGGAGGGGTGCCCCACACCTGCTTGGAGGCCTCTAATGGCAGCGATTGCACCATGTTACAGTCATCCGTGCGTTGTCGGCTTCCGTGCTAGGGCAGGGGATCTCCGAGACACCCTAGAGGAGCACCTGGCAGGTAGCAGATGATCAATACCGGCGAAGAAAGAACCAATGGATGATGAGTCAACCAACCAAGCTACCTATTTCTCTATCTGCCCAGAAGCCAGAAGTACTCCTCATTCATGGTTTCCTACCTTGTTTGCCTCGATAGTAACAGACTGATTGTAACTTTGGGGGGAAGGAGGCAGAAGTGACACTATAGAGGAGCTATCCCTCCTCTGTGTCCCCCCACCTTACACATGCTCAGACTGGAGCCTCTTACAGAGTCCTAATAACCTCACCCCCAGCTCTTAACCACAGAAGCCTCTTCTCAAGTGCTCCGTTAGCAATTCAGCTTACTCCCAGTACATCCTGCCTGCTCTACCTCTCCACTTCCTAGCAGGTAAACAGAAATGGACAGGGAAGACAAGGCACAGGAAAATTTGGGACAATCTGAACCAAGAAATAACGGGGAGGGGGTGTTTCACCCTTCTCAGGGTTGGACTCGTTTCCTTGGGAACATGACCGTATGTCACTGTGTGATGTTCCTCTGTTGCCATAACAACAGGAGATGTGTCACCAGGTGGTGTGGATTTGTTGCCATGGTAATTAAAGGAACCCCTCATACATGAACTCCCCTTACCCAGGCTGCTGTCTCATCCTCATACAGGGAAGGGGAAATGAGGAGACCCACAGGTTATCAGGTTGGGGGGAACCATGTGACAAATCCCCATGGCAACCAATGAATCGGGGGACACTGGTTGCCATAGTGACTATGCGAGACCTGTGCAGTCACATGTCTACTGTTGCTATGGTGACTGTCCGGGCTGGAGTGGATCCCAAAGGGGAGGGGGATAGCAGAGGGGAGGATCTTTCTTCTCCCCACAACCCACCATCAAAAGCAGAGAAAAAGGACATGGCATAGCGAGGAGCCCCACTTCCATCCCTCCTCCCTCCTCTTCTGCTCCAGGAGAGAGAACTAGAGCACGTTATCTGCACAACCGAGTCCTCCTCTCCACGGGGCTTTATCTAGAGCTCTTGTCTAGCCAGGCAGCTGTAAGGAAGGGGGGGAGAGGAGGAAGGAGCGTTGGGGCACTGCCAGGGGCATGGGGCTCCTAGCATGACCACCAAGAAGGGGAGCAAGCCCTCAGGTTGCCCTGTTCTCCACTAGGAACCTGGAAATCAGACTGCGGCATGCCCAGGAGGAAACAGGCCTGGTCCTGGAATCCTGGCCTCTTAGCCTGACCCAGGAAGGTGGAGACCTTGTGTCACCTACCCTGCAGAGAGGCCGTGTCCATGGGACTCAGCCTTTCCCGGGTGGGGTGGGCTACAGGGGCTCAGCAGCGGGGCTGCCAGGAGGGAGCCTAGAAGGGGGATTCCCCGCGTGGACAAGCCAGGTTCCAGTGGTCTCCCCACCTCCGCTCCAGTGTGTGGGCGTGTGGGGAGAGAGGTTTCCAGCTGAACTAAAAACTGAAGCCTGAAGAAAGGCAGCCGGCCCCACCCAGAGACAGAGACGTGAGACACAGAGACACAAGCGAGCTGGCCGCTGGAATCTCTGGGAGGGGAAATAGGCCAGAAATCTGATTCAAACGTCTGTGTGTGTGTGTGTGTGTGTGTGTGTGTGCGTGCGCGCGCGCCTGTGTGTATATGCATGTGCATGCGCGCATGTCTGCGTGTGTGAGCAGTTGTGTCTGTCGCCATCCTAGCCGAAGCAGGCAGGGCGGGGTGAGAGCTGGGGCGGGAGCAGGCAAAGGGTGAGGGGGGGCTGTGTGGTAGGGGTAATCCCAGGAATGGTTCCAACTGGCACTATGGGTGATGGGGAGTTCCCCAACAGTTTTCTGGAGCAGAGTGGGTGTGCGACCCAGAAGGAAGATGGACCCAGAATAGAAGAGTGCTAAGGGGGTTCTCTGGCCCCCGGTTCTGATTAATTCACCGGTTCTTCCCAGAACCCAGAAAATGAGAGGAGAGAATTGTTGAGGAGTCAGAAAGAACCCCCCCACATCCTCTGAGCATCAAAATGGAGATTTCTCTGTAGGTAAGAGATACAGACAACTTGGAGTACTGGGACAGCGGCAAGGAAAGCTCCAGAAATTCCTAGTGCCCCCTCCCCTCCAGACACACACACTCAGACACACACAGTGACGCAGTCACATACTCACACTCACTTCTGGAAGCCATTAGGGTTCCGGCTGCTCAGGCCTCCCCCTCCTCCTCCCCCCACTCCTGGCAAGCTCCCCTCTCCCCCTCTGGCCCCCCTCCCACTCCCCCTCTCGGCATCCCAAATGCCAGCCTGTGATTTCCAAATGAGAAAAAGCTGTGCTGGGCTCTGAGCTTGGAGAAACTCCTACACAAACTTCCAGATGTGACACAACAGCCAGAGAGGGAATGCTCAGGATCTCCTTCCCGGGAGGGGAAGCGCATTCCCTCACACTTGAAGAAACACATACTGGAAAGTCCAACACACTCCCCTGTAAAGCGAGGAGGGGGGCCTTTCTGGCTCAGAATTGGCTGTCAGTGAGTGCCCCAGTCTCCCCAAGACCAAAACATGCACTCCTGAAAGCCCTCTTCCTTCTCTGCCCTCTCTCTCCAGAATACACCACGCACACCCTCATACCCTCACACACCACTTCCTACCAGGGTCTCAATCTCCTCTCTAGGAAACTGGGTGTCTTAAAGGGAGGAGGGCCAGAGAAGAATGCCTAGAGTCCCAATCACCTCGGGCACTAGCAGGGGTGGGGGAGGGGGTGTCCTTATGCCCCTCAGAGAAACCCTGTGGAAACAAGGGTGGCTTTCAGGTAAAGAAAAGACGGAAGGGAAAGACTGAGGCCCAAGAGTCAGGTCAGAACCTCTCTGACAGTGAAAATACAGATTTCCTTTGTGGTGGGGGCACAGCTTAAGTGGCCCCCTTGCTTCAAATCACCTTCAGTCAACCCAGGCTCCAGGGCGCAAAAAGACCTGGAGATGCTGAAACCCCCACCCGGAGGTCCGTCTGCTACTTCACCCCAAGATGAACACTGGGCTCCCACCTTCCTTCTCTCACCGCAACCCTCTCTTCTTGCCCCCTCCCAGAACCTTCAAGGAAGGAATCTACCCCCAGACCATGTGCTACTTGTTTGGAGATAGGGCAGGTGGGGAGATGCTAGCCAAGAGGTCAGGGTTTCGTGGAGGGGGAGGGGAAAGGGAGAGAAGATCTCTTCACCGTTCCTGGACACCTGAAGGGTGGGGGGAGATGCCAGGCTCCAGGAGAGGGTGCTTTTGCACCAGTCATGGAGAGGGTGAGTGGTTAGGGATGCATAGGGGGAATACCCAGAACCCCTGCTTCGCAGAGACATTTGTTCCCCATCTCCACCTCTGGAGAAAGGGGCTGGGGGTGGGGGAAGGAACCCCAGATGTGTCTATTCAGCAGGTCCACAGGCCTCTGAGCCCCACCTTTCTCTTTCCGCGACTCAGAGAGGAAAGCAGAGGGACAGGGGAGAGGGAATGGTGAGCTGGTGTGACGAGGGGGACTTCCCAAAGACCCATGGGGTAGAGAGGATGGGGGTTGGGGGTGACCCAAGCTCACATCCCGGCTTTGCGCACTAGAGGCAGCAGAGCTGCAGAGTGAGGGCGGCACCAAGCTTCCCACACCTCCCTCGCCAAAGCAGAGTCCGGGCTGGGCTCTCAGGGGTTACGAGGGAGACCTGAGGTCTCCCACCCTGGCTCCAAAAGAGCTTCTGAGCTAGGAGGGAGGAGCTGGGAGAAGTCGCAAAGGTCTGGGATGGCAGCGTGCCCCCCCCCTTTTCCTTCTGGCAGTGGCGGGACCCACCCGCGAACCTGGAGCCTGGCATTAGTCAAGCCACGCTTTGTGCTAGGGACTGAGGTGGAGAGGCCCTGGGGATAAGGGGGGGTCTCCCATACTTCTCCAATCTGGGCAAAAGGGTGGGAGCAGTGCTAAATCTAGCTCCCTAGAATGTGGGGCTCGCATTCCCACAAACCCATCTTAGTAGGCACTGGACTTCAGTGCACCCGCTCAGCCTCACTGTCCCCCCAATACTTTCTTGAAGGGCTGCAGTCTCCCATACCTGCTCAGCCATCAGGCAGGAGCACTCCTTGTGAAAGGGGAGGGGCTAGTCGGATGGGCTTAATCCCATCCCCCTCTTGCCAAAGCCCTCGCCACAGTCTTTCCCTCCACGAGAAAAAATCCAGCACAAAACTCCCAACCCAATCTGAAGCACCCTGCATTGAATAAAGAACGGGAGAGAAGGGAGACACTCAGGGTACTAGGCTACCAACCAAAAGGGTTTACTACAGTTCTGGGGGCAGACAGCTTCCCTTCCACCACATCTTGTTCTCATTCTGCGCCCCTGACATCAGCCGCCGCCGGAATCTCCTTGTTGTGCCTCCAACCCGCGGGGTGGGGGTGGGGGTTTTAGGACCTGGTCCCCGCCCCCCCCCCAACATCTCCCTCTGGGTCAGTAAAAACCTCAGCCTCAAGGACCAGGTGGGGGCGGGGATCAGACCCTAGAATCTACCGCAAACTTTGAATAGGGGCAGATGGGGTACCTAAGAGATTGCGGCCCCCCTCCCCCGTCCCCGCAGCTTCCTCCCCACCCCACCCCCCAAACTCGGAAACCAAACCCTGCTCGCTAACGCGCGGCGGGCGGAGTGGAGCTCCCAGACTCCCGAAGCTTCCCACATCTGGAGGATGACGACCCTCCCCAGCCCACATCTGGAGAGCATCCAGTTGCAAACCAGCAGGGCACGTCTCCCCAGTCCTGGCCTGGAGCCCGATCCCCCAAGGAGGGCTGAGGTGTGTGCACCAAGGTGGGGCTGGCCTGGGGTCTGGGCCAAACCTGCTCGCACCTCTGCCGCCACGCTGACGCCCCCTCCCCTCCTCGCACCCGCCGCCTTCCAGGCTCACTTTCACTCACCTGGCTTTGGGTCCCCTCTGGCGGCGCGGCCCGCCCCCCTGCGGACCCCCCAGCCCGGCCGTCGCGCCCCGGAGGATATGGGTTACAGACCGTGCGGAGACACCAGCTCCGCGGGCGGCTGTCCTGGCTCAAGTAGAAGAAAACCACGGGGGCCAGCGCCGGGTACGGGAGCCCCTCCGCCTCGGAGTCCGCGCTGCCTGGGTCCTTCTCCGCCGACCCCGGCCCCGGCTGGACCCCGGCCCCGGACAGGTCGTTGAGCCGCAGGCAGCTCTGGGGCTGTCCTGACTCCTCAGCGCCCGCTCCATCCTCCTCCTCGTCCATCCTCTGGCCAGCCGGGGTCCGGGGCGGTCTCGACAGGGGCGAGAGGCGCCCCTCGGAGGAGGTGTCCTCACGCAACCGGGGGTCCCCGGCGGGGTCGCATCTGGGGGGCTCTAGGGCGCAGGCTGAGCCCCCAGCAGGGCCAGTGCAGCCCAGCTCCCCCTGCCTGCAGGGGCATGCTGCCCGCGGGCGCCGGGCGCCGGGGCGCGGGGAAGCCCCGCCCGGAGCGAGCCCCGCGTCCCCGGGGCCCCTGGGGACCCCCCGGGTCAGCCGGCCGGCTCCCCCTCACTTTGTTCCGGCTTCTTCGCTTCGCGCCCAGGCTCCGGGCGCCGGACTCGGCGCTACCTTCGGCGAAGCGGCCCCGCGAGAAGACCGAAGGGGGGCGCCGGGCAGGGGGTTCCCGGGAGGAGCGCCCCTCTTCCCGCGGCGCAGCTGGAGCTGGATCTAAGGGGTCAGCATCGCCCCGGCCCCGCGCCGGCGGCCGCGGGGGGAGGGGAGGAGCGCTCTCTCGGGGGTGGGCGCGGAGGGGGCGGGGGGCGGCTCCTTCCTCCGCCCCGCGGCGGGCTCGCGCTCCGGGAGGGGCGGGCAGGGGGTGGGGGGCCGTCCCGGGAGGGGGCGGAGGCGGAGATGCCGCCCCGCGGCCGCCGCGGCTGCCGCCGCTGCCGTAGCTGTCGCCGGCGCCACTGCCGCCTCCTCCGGCCGCGGAGCGGAGCGAGCGAGCGCGAGCGGCGGCGGGAGCCCGGCGCACGCCACAGCTGGATCCTCACTCCAACTTCAAGCCTCGGCCCCGCCCCCGGCCGGCCCCCGGCCAATCGCCGCGCGCCGCCGGCGCCGAGCCGCCGGCTCATTGGCCGGACGCCGCGGCAGTGCGGGCGGGGCGGAGCGCGCAGCTGGAATCCGGTTCCCACCCCGAAGCCCAGGCCCGCCCCCCGCCCGCCCCGCCGCCCCGGGTCCGCTCCCGAAAGCCAGGCCAATTAGACGGCTCCCCAGACCGAACCCACTTTCCTATTGGCCGCTGGGGTCTCTGGGACTCCCCTGGAGGGAGCCCCGGGGAGCCAGGATTTGGCGCGGGGTCCTGGGATGACGCCGCCGGCCCTCGGGCATTCTTTGTCCGCGACCCCCGAATTTGCCCGCAGCTGTAGGGCGAGGCTCAGTTCGGCGCGGGGTTGGAGAAGAGAGGCACCGGCCTGCGGTGGGGGGTGTGATGAGGGTTCCAGACGAAATCCCGAGTCCTCACCCCCCTGGAGCTGAACCTCGGAAGGGGGCTGAAGGGGCGGGGGACGGAGCGGGGTGTCCCGGGGACAGGGCTTCTGGCTGGAGGGGCCGCCCTTGCGGGTACGGGCGGAGCCTAGGCGGGTTTCTGGGTCCTGTTTCAGGCTCACTTCTGCGACTTTGACCCCGCCCCCGAACCCTAACCCTAACCCGCTGACCCTGACCTCACGCCGACAGTCCTGAGCTTCGTCCCGTCGGTCTATAGGGGTCTTTTGGAGAGTGTGGACCCCACGCGGGAGATTCTTGTTTAAACACGTGGCCATGGCAGGTCGCGCCAGACTCAGCACCTGGAGCTGCAAAGGCAGCTCGAAGCGGAAAGAGGCGCCGGTGAAGGGCGCTGCGGGGTCTGGCGAGTGTGGCTGGGGGTGTGAGCGCAGAGCTGGGCTTTGCCCACTCAACCTGCAAAGTCTCCCCACACCCGCGCTCCTTGCCTCAGTCCCTCCCTCTCGGAGTTCCATCATGGCTTACGGGGAGGCTCCGCAGGGCAGGAGCTCGCGGGGTTCCTGCACTCACACCCCACCCCCCTGGTGGGGTCAGTCCTGGGGGGTCTGCGGCGTCTCGCACCCGCGCGCCGCACGCGCAGACCCCGCTCCGGCCTCGCCCCGCCTCGCCTTCCCGAGTCCCCGGGCTCAGCGCCAGCTCCCCCTCGCAGCCCGGGCCACCCCCAGAGGCGGTGGGTCCCCGGACCTCAGCGCGGCTGGAGTGCTGGGCGCTGGGGGCAGCGAGGATGAGCACTTCCCGGACCTCTGCGGAAGGTGGACCCAGCGGAATCGGGCAGGTCAGTCAATTCCCACTCCTAAGACTTCGGGGCTCTTACGCCACTGCGGAGAGGCGAGGAGATGAACCAGAAGACCTCCCGCACCCGCTCCCCCCAGCCCGGCTGCCGGGCATTCTTCGATCTCCCTAGACTGCGCCACCCACGCATCCCCCGCGCCTCCCGCCGCGCGGGGTGGGTGTCTCAGCTCCCTCCTGGGCGGGTTGCGGGAGTGCAGCAGCGAGGGAAGAGTGGCTGCTGCGCCGTCGCCTCCCTAGTTGCCCTTTCGCCGAAATCCGGGCACCGAGTTGTGCAAATGAGGCCGGGTTTATTTGCATTTCATGCTAATGAGCAGCTCCCTCAAGTGCCTTTCTCTCCTGGCGGGAGTCTCTGCTCTCATTCCGCGCTAGAGTCTTGAACTCACAGCCGTCTTCTGGGAGAGGGGCCTATTTATGGTGCTCTCCAGGTGTCTGGCACCTTCCCTGCGCCTGCCCCCAGCCTGCCGTTTGGCCTACCCTTCCCGGACAGGGTCAAGAAGCCTGGGGGTTGGCACCCGGAGCTAGCGAGTTTCACTATCCTTTCCTTTGCAGAGGAGAAAAATGAGGCCAGAGAGGCTTCCCAGCCCAAAGACCAGGTTCCCAGGCAGTCAGCAGTCTGCATGCCTTCATCCATCATCCAGAGCACCTGTCCCTGTACTGAACTCTGCTGTAGAACACACCCACACAGGGGTGGGGTGGGGAGGGGGCACACACATGCATCTGGACAAATACAGACCCATATCCACTTCCTTGGGCTCTGGACCTGGGAAGACCTGCCACCTCAGGCGTTCTGACGAGGGAAGGGCACCAGGATGCACATCAGTCAGTGATGCAAACTGTTAGCCTGAGGGGGAGTCAGGACCCACAGAGAAGGCAAAGGAAGCCGAAGCCATCTTAAACTCCTATCTTCCAAGCCTTAGCTCTCATTTCACCTCCTCAGTGTGACCTTTCAGCACGTGTTGTTGGTACCTACTAAGTACCAGGCCGAGTCTGGATACCCCTAGCCCTTGGCCCAGCTGGGGTGATATGTTTGTGGTAATGAACTGATTGTCTTCCCTTCTAGGCTCAGTGTGGCCTGCCAGCCTCCTCTCCAGGGCCTGGCCTAATGTGTGGCATAGAGTGGGTACTTAGTGCATCTTTTTTGCCTCAGGCAGGAAAGAGAAATGAAAGGGATAAGAAACTTCTTTCTGCTGGCCTCAGTTTCCCAATAAAGTTAGGTCTAAATGTTGTCTAAGATCTCTTTTCGTTTGAGGGAGAAGTCCCATAAGGCCCTGCTCTGCCAGCCACCCACCCCCCATCCTCTCCCCTTAGCCATCCCTCTCTCCTTACTCCCCTCCCCCAGCCTGGCTGGCCCTCAGGAACTGCGATAATATTCCTCTCTGTGAATATATTCCCCTCTGCTCACTTGCCCCATTTTGCGCCCCTCGACAGCCTTGGGAGCTGGGGGGAGGATGTCCCAGGACAGTCGTGCTCAGACCCGAGAGAGACCAGAACTCGGGATAGGAAGGCTGCAGATTTAAAATCCCATCTGAGCAAGACTTATGTTCAACCTTGCCATCTTTAGAAAATGCTGGCACTCCCATGAGAACCTTTAAGGCCCTAACTCCTTCCTCTGAACCCATTTACAGAATCGCCACGCGGGCATGTGCCTGGTACCAGGGAAAGAGGAGACGCAGAGCAGAAGGGAGCTGGAGGACGGGGTAGAGGATACCAAATGCTCCCTCCTCCACAGCTGTGCCTGCACCTCCCTGAGGGAAGAGGGTGCCTTAGTGATTTAAATTGTACCCTGAAAACCCTGTAAAGGACTGTATGTGCTGAGTAGTCTCAGACCCATCTCTTACCCCCTCTGGGTCTTGAATATCTAGCCATCTGAGGCCAAAGGATTTGCCTTGGCACCTCATTTCCGAGGGTCAGTGGGGCAGCAGAGACAATAGGGCCATGCATATTGCCCAGAGTATTCCAAAGCCAGGCCTGGGGCTGCCAAGAAGGCCACCTGTGCTTCACCACTCTCTCCCCGCCCTCCTTACTGCCCCAGACTACGCTCCCACTTGCCTCGTCTGTGGACTTCCTGGCAAGGCTAAGCACGTTCTAGCCAGAAAGGGCCATCTGACCTTGTTGGCCAAAGCCCTAATCCCCTCCAGATGGGCTGGTAGCTTGTACTAAGGGCCCAGCTGCCCAGACAAAGCTGACCCTGGTACCAGTGACCACTTGCAGGGGGTAGCCATCGACCACCCCCTTGGAGTGAGACCTTGGAGTGAGTCTGGCTGGCTCCCAGATCCTTCAGCCCCGCTCCTCCCCACTGCTGGCACCCCCCACAAGCAGTGCTGCATTCAGGTCTCCTCTCCAACAGCCTCTTCTGGCCACCTGCACTGATTGGCTCTGGGGCTCTGAGGGGGCCCAGGCTCAGCACATCCAGGAAGAGCCCAGGGAGGCAGCTCTTTCCCCTCCTCCTAGCCTGTCAGCCCCATCACCCTACCTGTGCCCTTCCCCAGAGGCTGCTTTCCAGTCCCCTTCCCCTTGTGGAAGCTAGATGGGGTTTCCGGAGAAATGTTGGGCCAAGAATGGTACTCACGAGCATCCCCAACATTGAAAGGGTTGGAGATGGTCACAGGAAAAGCACAATTTCTCTGCAGCAGGAAGGACTCAGATTTGGAGAAACACTTTCAACTAATGCCCCAAATGAAAGCGAGCTCTTTCTCTGGCCTGGCTATGTGGCAACAGGGGGCTGGACAATATGACTTCCTGCAGGAAGGCTTTGGCTGCATCCTGGGAAGATTGGGGGCTGGATGGATAACTCAGAAGAAATGTCTTTGGTTCCTGATAACAGCAGCTGCTACCATATACCAGAGCATATGCAAATGTCACCATTCTGAGAAAAATTAAAGCATCCCCCTGCCTCTATCCCAGCTTAAAATAGGAGATAACGGAAGGGGAAGGCAGGTTCCTTTCTAACCCATCTGATTGGCCTTTCCCCTGCCTGGGAAAGTTACACCCCCTAGCCCTAGCCCCTGGTGGTCACTACTGGCCATGCCCTCTGTTTCATTCAGGCTGCAATGACCACGAACAAAGGCAGGGACAGGCTGGTGACATCTGAAGCTGAAGAAC